TTTTTTTTTGTTTTTTGAGACAGAGTTCTCATCTTTGCCTGGGCTGAGATGTGTCTGGCAGCAGCCTCGCCGCACCAGCCACCTCCAACACTCGCTGGCTCAAGCGATCCCTCCTGCCTGCAGCCTCCCGAGTAGCTGGGACTACAGGCACTCGCACCATGCCCGCTGAGTTTTTTCTATATATTTTTAGTGAGCAGGAGAAGCAGAGAGCTCCCCAAGGGCTCCAGGACAGCAGAGCCTGGTGCATGCAGGCCCCTATTTCAGTATTGTGAGCCAGGGCCCCATGCAAGTCAGAAGACTCCAGAAAAAAAAATAATGTTCATTTACACATGGGAGAGCATGAGGTGATCTGCTCTTTCATTATACCTGCCTGACATTCACCTCCCATTTATAACCATCCTGTTCTCACTCCTAGTCCAATCGGTACAGGGGGCGGGGGCTGGCCTCAACTTCTCTGCTTCCGGGTTGGGCGCATAATCTAGACCTGGCCAATTAGCATTTTCCATCCTTTTGACCAAGATGATTGGCTCCGGGATGAACACGTGACCCGAGCCAGCCAATCAGGTTCAGTTCTGGGACTTTTGTTGCCTCTCCTGGGAAAGAGGTCTTCTCTTTTGGCTGGGAGTTGCTAGCTGTGAGGCTGACATAATCCTGGAACTTCCGAGGACAACCACCTGGTCAGAGCCTGCCTGAGAATGGAGACAGGAAAGAAAGAGAAGCAGGCCTGAGACATATGGACCTAGGTGTATCCTCGGAGCCCATAAACCCAGCTGTGCCTGAACCCACTGAATCCACCTTTAGATTTTCCCATTAAACAAGCCCCTACATTATCTATTCAACTATTATTGTAACATATCATCATCATAATTGTAATTATTATTGTAATTATTTAAATCACTTGCATTTTAGAGTAAAGGAAAATGAGCTTTGGAGAAGGCAAGGAACTTAGCCACAGTCACCCAGCTGGAAATCAGAAGGGTTAGGATTTGGACCCATAAATTTATTTGGAGCCTTAAGCCAGCTTGAATTGAGTTTCTGTCTTTTTTTTTTTCCAGGAAGTGTCCTGACCAATTTGCAAAGAAAGATTCTTTTCCTGTCTTTCTTAGAAATCCACTTGTCTACACGGTAGAATGAAAATCCCTCCAGCTGGGCCAGTCTGGTTGCTCCTGTGCTCTGTAGCTGAGCCAGGCCCTTCTCTCTTAGATAAAGGCATCGTGAATCAAGTCTTTAGCGTCCAAGGGTGACGCGTGGACTGACACCAGCCTGAACAACGAACCAAGAAGAGAGACAGCTATGAGCAGAGGGTCAATGCTGACCTGTCCTTTCTATGGAAATGTGTGTTCGTATTTCTAAGCAATTAGACAGCTGCTGTGACATTATGGCCCTCCTGATCCCAGATGAACCATCCACGTGACATCAGTCGCAGCTTCCCCACGGCACCCTTGTGCTTGCCGGGTGCCAGGCTTGTGACTGTTAGCTCATGTTCAGTGAATCGTGCAGCCAACGAGAAGGAAAAAGTCGGAAGTTTTGCAGAAATTGGGGGCAAGGCAGTCCATAAATTTTTACCGACTTCACCTTTTCCACCCAAGTAAGTGTTTTTTAACGAGGTAGAGAGAAAGGTGTCATCGCAGGCTTGGAAATTATTCTCCACCATCAGCCTTCCGGAGGGAGGGAAGCTATTGTTCCTCGGTTCCATAGCACAGGCGTGAGAATCCTATTTCCAGCCAGTTCAGCTGTCTGGTCTGTCTCGGACAGGGCTGGCCTCCCATGGCGGAAGGAAGGCAGCCCACCTGGGGCCTCGTAGAGGGCACTTTGTAAACCTAGCACCTGGCCGTAAATGCACTTTAATTTTCACCTCTCTTTCTAGGGGAAAAGCCACCTTCAGCTTTGCTCACATCTTGGGGGGCACAGAGAGCTGGCCCAGTCCCCGTGTCTGGCAGGGTGTGTTTGGGGACCTTGTGCATGTGTATCTTGCTCTTTTGTGTTTTTGTGTTTTTTTTTTTTGAGACAGAGTCTCACTTTGTTGCCCAGGCTAGAGTGAGTGCCATGGCGTCAGCCTCGCTCACAGCAACCTCAAACTCCTGGGCTCAAACGATCCTCCTGCCTCAGTCTCCCGAGTAGCTGGGACTACAGGCATGTGCCACCATGCCCGGCTGATTTTTTCTATACATATTAGTTGGCCAATTAATTTCTTTCTATTTATAGTAGAGACGGGGTCTCGCTCTTGCTCAGGCTGGTCTCGAACTCCTGACCTTGAGTGATCCGCCCACCTCGGCCTCCCAGAGTGCTAGGATTACAGGCGTGAGCTGCTGCACCACTCACGGGCGTGAGCCACTGCCCGGCCACTCTTTTGCCTTTCTGTGTACTTTCGACATCCAGCCTTGGCTGCTCGGCTGGCTCCTACTCTTGGCTTCACTCCTGCACCTGTATTACGCACTCACGACAGTGCCCGGGGACGCACATATTGGGCACGCAAGCTGGGCTACTTTGTCTGACACACAGCTCCGAAAGCCCCACTCGTGTTTGTTCTACATGGTGCTCCAGGGGCGGCCTTTATATAAAACACAATGTACCTGGGGCTCCCTGGACTCAAGCACCTCCGTGACTATGCTCAAAGGATATTGCTGGTGAATGAATGAAAGAAGGAATGAAATCCTGGTTGGGTATGCTTTGGCTTCTCTCCTGGACACCCAACGTTCTCCTTATCACTAAGGGGTCTGTTCCAGCTTTCCTTTTTCCAACATGCACCTGACACATAGTAGGCATAAAGTTTTTGGTGGTTGGGAAAAGAAAAGACAGAGAGAGAGAGAGAGAGAGAGAGAGAGAGAGAGAGAGGGCAAACAACGTGGCTTTATTGAACGCTTCCGGGCGAGGTTCGTGGGTCCCAAGAGAGAGAGGGCCGGAGAAGTCATGCTCGTTTGAAAGGGGTGAAGGTTTTTATATTGTTTGAGGCGGGCTGGAGACTTTTGGCGGGAAGAGCTGGGGATTTTCCACTGTGACCTTTGGCGGTCATTGAGAAATAGGAGGGGCTGGTGGTATTTGCAGAATCCAGGAACCGAAACTTTCTTACCCGGGTGGACATCCAGGTTTGGTTGTTCTCCGTGGGGCCTGGGAGTTGTTTTTGGCGGGTCTGGTCTCGTGAGCCTTTTATTTTGGATCTAGGGAGGGGAGGGGAGCCCCGCCACCAGCCTTACAGTAGGAACTCTGTAAATATCGACTAAGATGGCACCAACCTCCAGATTAATTCCGTTCCCATGTCTGTCTGCTTTCCACTGAAGCCATTTGACTGCTTATTCCAGCTTATTCTAGCTTCCGGACAATTTCTGCTCAAGAAGCCAATTCTTTAGGGTTCCTGGCCCTCACCCTCCTCCTTCTCCAGGGCTGGCCCGCACCCCCCCACCCCGGCCATCTCTCCTTTCCTCCTGCCTGATCCCGCACGTGGACTTCTGCCTCTGGGAGGTCAAGGCACTAGGATCAGTGGTTGTAGCTTCTTTGTTTTTCACAGAAGCACAAACGTCAGAAACGGACCACGATTTCACGGTTGCCTTTCACTGTGGCCCATTTGTGGGCCACGTTAGCTGTGGTCACAGTGTTTCTCACCCACCCTCGAAGGTCCAGCTCAATTTCTAGCTCCTTCAAGAAGATTCCTATGGCCAATCCAGCACTTACTGCTCTTCTTCCTTCTCCTTAAACATAATTTGGCATTATTTTTTAAATTTTTAAAAAAAATTTAAATATTTTTAAATTTCTTAAAAATTCGGCATTATTTTTTTTTATGAATGATAACACATCATCCATCCTTTTACTCTGTCGATCTTGTCCTCCTCGGTAGCTTATAGATTCCTTGGGGGTAGGGACCCTGCCAAACTGCTTCACCGGCCTTCACATTGACTCACCTGCACAAGGTGACTTAAACAAATAAACCTTACTGACCCTGTTAAAACCTGACCACCTCAGTTAAATACTTTCCATTTCTGGGAAATTTTCCTTTTTTTTTTTTTTTAACTTTGAAAAAGCGTCCACTTTTTTCCACTTTTCAGAGTCACGTTGATCAGGACAATCAAAGGTAAACATGTTTGCCGAGGAGGTAGAATGAACTTTCCATCCGAGACAGAAATAGAACCCTTTCTTCCAAGCCCCTGCTGCAGCCCGTCACCTGTACGGGGTTGTCACATGGGCAGGGCATGCGAAGCCACCGAAGCTTCCGTTGATGATTAAAGACTCAAGTGGCACCGTGGCATTTGTCAACAGCCACCAACGTCTCAGCAAATGTGCTCCTCGTCATTGAAAACCAGCCCTATTGTGAGGCTTTATTCCGCTTCTGAATGGGGCTTGCATTATGCAATAATGGAGTCAGAAAAAGCAAAACACCAAGACACAGGCAAACGCCACTTTTCCTTTTGTGAGCGCCCTGCAGTGTGGCTTGCTGTGACTGGCGTTAAACTGAATCCCACTCTAGGTTCAGTCCCGAGTGGCTTCTTTTTCAGGCCTTGGGACTTTCTGGTCAAAACAAAAGAGATGGTTGAACCCAATGCTTAAGTTCAAGAAGTGAATGCTTAAGTTCAAAATTCAAGAATTCCTGCACTGCAAACAGGCTGAAGGTCTTGGTCTTGGTGTTGTTCTTCCTGGTCATGGGTCCTAAACTTCCCATGCTCCGACTCTGAATTGGCAGAAATCATGGCAAAATCGCTGTCCTGTAGCCGTGATCCGCACAGCTCTAGAGGGAAAGATGTGAGAAGTCATTTTTGAGTAGCCTATTGTTTTTTTCTTTTTTTTTTTTTTGAGACAGAGTCTTGCTTTGTTGCCCAGGCTAGAGTGAGTGCCGTGGTGTCAGCCTAGCTCACAGCAACCTCAAACTCCTGGGCTCGAGCGATCCTCCTGCCTCAGCCTCCCGAGTAGCTGGGACTACAGGCATGCGCCACCATGCCCAGCTCATTTTTTTCTATATATATTAGTTGGGAGATTAATTTCTTTCTATTTATAGTAGAGACGGGGGTCTTGCTCTTGCTCAGGCTGGTTTTGAACTCCTGGCCTTGAGCAATCCTCCTGCCTCGGCCTCCCAGAGTGCTGGGATTACAGGCGTGAGCCACCATGCCCGGCCCTCCTAGACATCCTTGATTCACTTCATAATCCCTGATTGATTTGCTTCAATGCCAACATCAGCCACCCACCCCAGTCCTCGACACCCCCGGCGCTTGGCTCTTTGAGCGTCTGCCCCAGCCGCCATGTGGCTCCTCCCTCGGAGAGGCTGTCGCTGCTTGAGCTCCCGATCCTCCATGCCAGCGGGTCCTCGGGTCCTTGCTGAAGCATTTCCGTGGCCACAGCCTGCCCGGCCTGTCCCTCTCGCACCTTGCCCCGCCGTGCCAGCCTCACCCCCCTGTTCTGGGCCAACGACCTGCAGGCCACTTCCTTGAGACCCAGGAGGGCTCTCTGCGCGGTCTCGCTTCCCTCTCTAGCCCACCGTCACCGTGCACCTCAGGCTCCTGCCTTCATCCTTCTCGGGCGTCCCTGGAAAGAGAGAGCCAAGGGTGAGCAGCGACTGGGGCGCCCCGAAATCCTGCCCCAGGTCACTCCCTCTGTGTCCTCATGCCGCTCTCTGTCCGCCCCTTCCAGCCCTGGCTCCCAAATCACCCACTTGCCCAGTGCCAGCTGCCTCGGGCTCTTCCCGCTGCCTCCGTTCTCAGTGCATACAGGCCGCATGGATTCACTCATTCATTCATTCATTCACTCATTTATTCATTCACTCATTCATTCACTCATTCATTCACTAATTCATTCACTTGTTCATTCATTCATTCACTCATTCATTCATTCACTTATTCATTCATTCATTCACTCATTCATTCCCTTATTCGTTCATTCATTCACTCATTCACTCATTCATTCACTAATTCATTCATTCACTCATTCATTAATTCACTCATTCAGTCATTAATTCACTCATTCATTCATTCATTCACTTATTCATTCATTCATTCATTCACTCATTAATTCACTCATTCATTCACTAATTAATTAATCCACTCACTCATTCATTCACTCACAAATGCCCTTAACAAGCGCCAACGCGTGCAGCCTGCCACGTGCTCTGCTAGGTTCTGGGCGACAGAGCAATGACCACGACACGCTGTCCACCCTCGTGGAGCCTACGTTCTGGAGTGGAGCCTCGCACCACAAACACCCCACCAAATAACTCGGCGTGTCACCCACACGGGGACACACGCGGCAAGCTTGGGGCACGCGCAGGTCCGCGAGGCACTGGGCGGGGTGTGAGCCGGGGAGGACGGGCGGAGGGAAAGGAAGAGAGGTGGTCGGCGCTGGAATGGGTCGCCCTCTGGGTCAGGCTACTGCATAAAGGTGACAGAGAGACTGCCCAGGGTCCTGCTGCTTGGCCGATTGGTTCAGAAGCTTCTGGATCCCGCTGCTGGGATATCGTGGTCCACGAGGTCGTGGGGCCTGGCGTGTGTGGCCGCCGCAGGGAGCCGGCTGCGTTCTACCCTGAGATCGCAGCCCGTCTCTGTTGACAACCCAGCCAACTTGCTCGTCCGAAAGAAATGATCCCGTCTCTGGCCCGGAGACAGGGGGCAGAGGAATGCCTTGGCTCTTGGCTCTGCTGTGTGTTTGTTTTGTTTTGTTTTGTTTTTGAGACAGTCTCACTCTCTTGCCCAGGCTAGAGTGAGTGCCGTGGTGTCAGCCTCGCTCACAGCAACCTCAAACTCCTGGGCTCAAGCGATCCTCCTGCCTCAGCCTCCCGAGTAGCTGGGACTATAGGCATGCGCCACCATACCTGGCTAATTTTTCCTATATATATTTTTTAGTTGGCCAATTAATTTCTTTCTATTTTTATAGAGACGGCATCTCGCTCTTGCTCAGGCTGGTCTCGAACTCCTGAGCTCAAGCGATCCTCCCGCCTCGGCCTCCCAGAGTGCTAGGATGACAGGCGTGAGCCACTGCGCCCAGCCTGCTGTGTGTTTTGACAAATGAAGACAAGAAAGGCTTTAGCCGGGTCTCTCCACCTAGATCTGGGCCCAGGTAATGAGGAATTTCGGAAGAGGATCTAGGCCCAGGTAATGAGGAATTTGGGAAGAGGATTTGACAAGGTTATGAGTACACGGTCTCCCAGTGACTCATTAAAAGGCAATCCAGGCTGGAAAAACTACTCTTCATTTCACTGTCATGGCGAAGATATAAAAGTATTAAAATTTTATTATTTAGCAGGATATTTCATATGATGCATCTCATTAGATAGTCATCATATTATATGGTACAAATCTGTTACCATTTATTTATCACTGAGCTAAATATATTTTCCAGTTAGCACAGGGCACACAATCTTTGCCAAAAAAAAAAAAAATTAACTTTTGGGCCAGGGGCGGTGGCTCACGCCTGTCATCCTAGCACTCTGGGAGGCCGAGACAGGAGGATCGCCTGAGCTCAGGAGTTAGAGACCAGCCTGAGCAAAAGCCAGACCCTGTCTCTACTGAAAAAAAAAAAAAAGAAAAAAAAATAGAAAGAAATTAGCTGGACAACTAAAAATATCTATGGAAAAAATTAGCCGGGCATGGTGGCGCATGCCTGTAGTCCCAGCTACTCGGGAGGCTGAGGCAGGAGGATCGCTTGAGCCCAGGAGTTGGAGGTTGCTGTGAGCAAGGCTGACGCCACGGCACTCTAGCCCGGGCAACAGAGTGAGACTCTGTCTCAAAAAAAAAAATTTAACTTTTGTTTTTGTTATTGTTTTTTGCGTTAGGTTAGTTAAGAGTCATCTCAGATGACTTGGAGTTTTCCTGCGTTGCAACACTTAAGGTCCTGGAGTGGATAGCTTTACATTCCAGATAAATTAATAGTAACTAATAACAGTCTTCACGCAACATTCCAAGCAGAGATGCTTTGGGATGCATACCGGCTTTCAGGTTCCTGATGCTTGGAATGTGCGATTTCTCTGTGAGCTACAATCTACGTGCAGAACTTCTATCTTGGGACCATGCTGTGTCTTTATATAGAAACCAGTCCCCTTGTCAAACCGAGCGAGTACGCGAGTCATTTGTGCATTTCCTAAAAACCATCACATCAAATTTTCCTCATCTGCTTTCCATTTTCTTTTTTTTTAATCAGGAGGAAAAAGCATTAACAACTTGCATGTATGTATCTTGGTGAAAATGCTCAATGTTCATAGACTCCTGTTACATGAAAATGTTTCTTGGTGGTGACCAGATGTCACACTCGTTTAAGAAACGATCATGTCTCCACTTGCACTGTCGCCAACCAAGTAACTTAAATACTTCTGCTAACTTGGGGCTCAACTTATATCATTGATCCTATGACCTGTGATATTTTAGACACTACTGAATGGCTTGAGACAGTGGCAATTAATTAGAGCTTAGAAGATATTTGAGAGTTACCGTAACTCTGAGAGCCAGGTAAGGCAATGAGAATCAGTGGCTTTGGCCCCAAACAAGACTGACTTCCTCACTTTGCAGGTGACTTGAAGCATGGGAGAAAATGAAGCTTGTTCTTTCCCCATATCCTAGGTGAATATTTATGAAAAAACCTTGATTCCCTTTTAGCTAGGTACATCATGCTGAAGATTTGAAACTCTAGGGAGGAGGACATTGCATTCTATGCAAAGACAAATAAGGATGCCTGAAATGTCCCCAGGTGCCTTTTTCTGCACTCTCAGGAGGTAGTTACAGGGCAAATATTAGGTGTGTCTAATCTACTTAGGAATTTGAAACTAAAGGGTTCTGTTAAACAATTGGCTCATTTATCTGAATCTTTCTGGGCCTTTTCTGCTTGTGCGTATCTTCTGATCACAGAATCTTGCCAATTATCCCAAGAGTACTGATTCCTACGGGCCCAAAGCCAACACCCATTTCTTTCTTTCTGCACCATTATCTTCCCGACAGAGGAGAGGTTGCAGGGAGAAGAGACAGACAGACATGCTTGTAGGATTCTTGTCACTGCAGAAAAGAAGAAGAAAAGGATCCAACAGAACATTGCCACTGCCTAGCTGTTATATTATTAGCCTCTTCATTTCACTAAGGGAACTTCTAACAATGGCTTTATTAATAATGCAGTAATGTCAGCTTCTAGTTCAATGTTCCAAAGGCTTTAGGGACATGGGCACTGAGAGTTTTTTTTTTTTTTTTCCTACTTCCAATTAAAACACAGTGGAAAATGACTCGTTGTTCCAAGTGAAGTTTAAACCTTGCATTTCTTCTAAAATAGGTGTTCTCTGTTCCCAGAAAAATGACTGGGGCTATGAAGGAAGACTCACACCATTGAGAGGAGAAAAATCTCAGATTTTGCCCTGAATGAAAAAGAGAATTATTTTCACCTTTGCTTTTACCTTTGTTTTTTATATTACATTGAAACAGAGAAAGAGGCTGGAGGAAACCTTCCAGAATAAGAAAGATAAGATCTGATTGAGTAGCAAGGGGCTTTAATTGTAGAACACTAGTTCTCCTTTCTTTTGAGTGTGGAAGGGAGAAAGATTGGGCCATTTTGCTGCCATAGAAACCAGCCAAGGTATGTGGGGGGGGAGGGGGGGCTCGTTGGAGACCCACCCTCCCCTCCTGGAACTTAAAGATCTTACTTTTCTCAAAGTTAAAGTGTTGTAGTCGAGAGGTGATCTTTCTAATGGCCAGAGCTATGTGTGTATGTTTTATTTAACTGAGTTCAATCTGCCTTCCCTCCTACTTTGCTTTTTCTTTTTTTTTTTTAAGAGTTTTTTTTTTTTTTTCCTTGAGACAGAGCCTCACTCTGTTGCCCAGGCTAGAGTGAGTGTTGTGGCGTCAGCCTAGCTCACAGCAACCTCCAACTCCTGG